GAAAGGAGGAATGGGTTGGAGATGTAGGTGAACAATATTGGCCAGGAGGTGGGGACATGGGATTCATTGTACTGTTCTGTTCACCTTTGTGTATGTTTGGGGTTTTCCATAACAATTACTTCAAAATTGCATTATAAATCATGCTTTATGTTTTAAAACAACCTTTCCCACCAATGATTTTTATTTATTGATCTACATTTAGTAATCTTGCTGAATTTTGGGGTCTTTTAATGGTTTGTCTTTTAATAGCTTATCTCTGTAGAGGCACTCGGATTTTCCATGTAAGTAATACTATTGGGAATAATGACAGTGTTATTTCCTTCTTTTCATCCTTTTTCTTTTCCTTTCCCTACTGTGCTGGTACAGTGTTGAAATAAAAACAATGAGCGAGGGCATCCTTATCCTCCTCCTGTTTCTAAAGAGAATACTTCTAAAGTTCTATCATTGAAGTGTGATGTTTACTGCAAGTTTTTGGTAAATAATTTTTTTTTACCTCGATGTGAATTACATAAACATGTTTTCAAATGTTAGATCATCTTTTCTGAATTCCTGGGATAAAATGAATTCAGTCATTATATCTATATATCTATATGTTTATCTATTTTTATCTATCTATCTAGATAGATCTAAAGATTTCATTGGCTAATATTTTATAGGAGTTTTACATCTTTGATCATAAGTGAGATTGGTCTATAAATTTCCTTTTTTATATTGTCCTTGTTTGGTTTTGAATAATTTGGTGTCAAAATAGAAGTGAGCTTTACTTTCTGGAAGGTGAAGAGAATTTTCAGGGTCAAGGGCAATAGCTGTGTCCTGGGGTTCTCATCCTGGGCTGATGGAGCGAGCCAGAGACATTCTATTTTTTTAAAAAATATATTTTTATTGATTTCAGAGAGGAAGGGAGAGAGAGATAGAAACATCAATGATGAGAGAGAATCACTGATGCCCCCTACTGGGGATTGAGCCCGTAACCTGGGCATGTGCCCTTGACCAGAATTGAACCTGGGGCCCTTCAGTCTGCAGGCGGACACTCTATCCACTGAGCCAAATCAGCCAGGGCCAGAAACATTCTTAAGGAGGCACCACTTCCTGCTCTGGAGGAGAACTTTCTAGAAGGAAAAATAAAGCAGCAACAGAGCTGGGTTGCTGAGGACTAGCCAGCTCTTTGAACCCAGTACTGGGGCTCCAGATAGCAGAGCTTGGCCGTGTCCAGTGACTGCACAGGCCTTGCACAGTGCCATCCAGGGAGCGAGGAGCCCCGACCAACATCATGAGGTGACACTGCAGTGGTCTCACCTTCCAGGCTGCAGATTCTAGGGGCAGGGGCACTGCCTCTGAGCACACACTCTGGTCTCTGTTTTCTCCACCGCTTAAGAGAAACCTTTGCAACACTGGCTACCCCTCACTTCTTTGCACAGCAACCCGCAGTCAGTACACTTGTGTCTTCTGGAGCTGTTTACTCCTGGGGGCAGGACTGCCCCTGAGCAAAGGCCATGAAAACGAAACTAAATTGAACTAAACACCCACAAACACTGAGTAGAGACTTGGATTGCCTTGGTTTTAATAATTAGCGGCAATTTGCATAATTGTCTTGACTTCTAGACCTCAACTTCATTTATCTGTAATACAAAACGATTTCTAGAGATTTTAAATAATCTCCCAGATTCATACTGGCTTAAAAAAACTGCTGCCATAATTTTGTGACATTTCTGACTTTGTACCCATTTCCTAATCAGAAACACATGGATGTTGTTACAGCTCTTTTAAAAGGCCAACGGCTTGAAGTGATAGGAACCTGAGTTCATACCTCAGCTCCTCTGTTTACTGGCTGTTACCTTGGGCAGGTTGCCTAACCTCTCTGAGCCTCATTTTCCTTATCTGTGAAACAGGATCATGTACTTTATCTCATAAGGTTACAGAGAGGCTAAAATCAGATAAACTAGTACATAACCTTTCACGGAATGCAGAGGCTGGTAAGGCTGCTTTCTCAGATTGGGTCTGCTACCCACACCTGGATTTAAGCAAAAAAAGACTTACAGAGAGGACTCAATCAGTCCCCCAGACTCAGCAATCCCCACCCCACTGAGACGGATTTGGAAAGTAAAGAAATCATCATGGTCCTGGCTGGTTTGGCTCAGTGGCTAGAGCGTCGGCCTGCGGACTGAAGAGTCCCAGGTTCGATTCAGGTCAAGGGCACATGCCTGGTTGTGGGCCCAATCCCCAGTCGGGGGTGTGTAGGAGGCAGCCAATCAACGATTCTCATCATTGATGTTTCTATCTCTTCTCCCCTCTCCCTCTCTGAAATCAATAAAAATATATTTAAAAAAAAAAATCATGTTACCAACTTAGAGCAAGTCCCTCCTGACAAAGTGCAATTCATGGCTACTGAAATAAAGTCTTAAAGAAATAGATTGATAGCTAATCTTTAGTGAGTCCTTATTCAGAGCGTCGGCCTGCGGACTGAAGGGTCCCAGGTTCGATTCCGGTCAAGGGCATGTACCTGGGTTGCGGGCACATCCCCAGTAGGAGATGTGCAGGAGGCAGCTGATCGATGTTTCTCTCTCATCGATGTTTCTAACTCTCTATCTCTCTCCCTTCCTCTCTGTAAAAAATCAATAAAATATATTTAAAAAAAAAAGAAATAGATCGATAGCTAATCTTTAGTGAGTCCTTATTCTGCATCAGGCATTCTTATAAGCACACTAGAGGCCCAGTGCATGAAATTCGTGCACTGGGCTGGGGTGGGGGGGTGGGGGGTGGGGGAGGGTCCCTCAGCCTGGCCTGCACCCTCTCGCAGCCCAACTGATGACTGATGGTGTGGGGAGTGGGCCTAAGCCATCAGTCGGACATCCTTAGCACTGCCACAGAGGTGGGAGGGGCTCCCGCCACCGCCACTGCGCTCATCAGCTGTGAGCCTGGCTGCTGGCTGAGTGGCGCTCCCCCTGTGGGAGTGCACTGTCCACCAGGGGACAGGTCCTGTGTTGAGCGTCTGCCCCCTGGTGGTCAGTGCGTGCCATAGCAACTGGTCGTTCCACCGTTTGGTTGATTTGCATATTAGCCTTTTATTATATAGGATGACACATTAACTCCTTTATGTCACAACCACCCCATGAAATAAGTACTGTTAGTGTCCCCATTTTACAGATGATGGGGAAAAAAAGCCCAGAGAAGTTCAGTAACTTACTCAAAGCCACACAGTAAGTGGTGGAGCTAGGATTTGAACCCAGGGAACCAGGCTCCATCATCAGTGCTGCTGACCACTGTAATGCTGCCTAAACACACCCTCCAGACCTTCCACACCCACTATTTTTAAAAGATTGGAAATTCTTTTTAAACATTAGCATTTATCGTTCCTGACAGGCAAATGCCTTCTTTAATGTTCTGCAGTGACATTTCGCTGCATTAAGGACTGTGTGAATGACCTTTATGGAGCTCAGCTGCAGCCTGCCCCGCTGCCATGAGGCAGGTAATGTGTTTGACTGACTTGGTTGTTGCTTAGATTTGGCCATGTTCTGCGCTGTTTACCCTCTATTGTCCTTGGCGGGGACCTGGGAGCCTCGTCAGTGTTCACATTCCGCACATGGGTTTATGATACGGAAGATGTGAGGACTGGAGCGAGTTTCCCTGGCTGTTGTCACTCGGTTGTGAAAATGGAGACGGCAGGATACTTGTGTTAGCAGGAACCTTGCTTAAAAGCTCGACCAAACCCAAGGGTTGGGCTACCATAATATTGCATTGTCTCATATCCAGAGCAGTGAAGCCTTTTTAAATGAGCATGAAAATGACTTTTGTCTAGAATGCCAAGTGAAAGTGATAGCAAAAGATGTACACAGGAAAAGATCAGGTTCAGGGTGAAATCCCAAACCCATGGCTGCACATTCATCTCCAGTAAGCTCCTCTGGTCTCTCTCACCCACGGGGTCCAGGTGCCCCAGGGAGAGGCACTAAAGGACTAGGTACACGAATTACTTCATTTAGTCCTCAGGCAACCTTGTGGTTTCAGCCTCAGTTGCGGGCACTGAGGCAGAGAGGTTGGGGTGGAGGTAGTCCTATTCCAGAGCCCGTGCTCTCCACTCAGCTGCCAGAGCGCTGCTGTAGCCTAAACAGAGCATCTGATGTGAATTAGGGAAAAGGCGCCCCAGTACGAGGGCCACGTGGGCAAAGGAGCCCTTCTGAGTGGGCGCACGCAGGCCTGGTGCATGCTTAGTGGGCAGCGCAGGATTTCAGCTCGCACCTGCTCCCTCTGCTGGACGCCTTTGTACAGCAAACTACAAGCAGAACCCAGGCGGGCCCACCCTGCATTCGCTCCTTGAGAACTCGAGTCTCTCACACGTGCTTTCACTCCTGCAAGAAGCGAGGAGGAGAGAGAACAGCTCTGCTACCCGAGCCTACCCTACGCAGCGTCCCCCAGCAGCACACCCAGGTACGCCCAGGGGAGAGCTTAGTGTCTCGCTCAGGGACTGGGACTATGAACTCTGCTAAAAAGCCCAGTTCTGGGCCCAGTATTTCCTGGACTCATCATCATTATGAAATGGAGCATCGTTTTTGGAGGAGGCCACCCTCAAGCAGCTCTGGGTCTCTAAAGGTGCTGTTCCCCGTCTGATGATGGGATATTATCCCTCCAGGCAGGGAACTGCAGCTCCCTCACCTGCATGTCCAAGGCCCTGTGAAAGCAGGAAACACAGAGGGAGGTGCCTGCGGGGCCTTTTTGTAATGATCCCCCCCCCCCCCCATCTCCACTCTCTTCCATCCATCTGCAGCCACTGGCAGGAAGGAAATCGTTCAGTAAGTAAAAGCATGTTATTATCAATTAGTTGGCTTGTGATGCACTAAGAACCCATCAGAGTCAGACTGAACACTTTGGTCTGCATTCTGACTCCAACCCATGACCTGGGAGGAAATGGAAGGATGGTCACTCCCCATTAGCGTCTTTGAGCAGGCGAACTTCATCCGGCAGTTACTGTGATAAGATTCTAAAGCCCAGCCCAGCTGTGTCTCTACCTTGGGTGTCTTGATGATCTTCTCTGAGGGGTCCTCCTGCTTCTTGGTGATAGTCCAGTTCATCTTCACTTTCCTATTCGGTTAACACACAACAAAAGCACGTAAGACCAAAAGAAGTGCCAGTACTCCAGCAGTCCATGCCTTTTGGTAAAAAGGAATCCAATGTTCTCAGTTGTTTCGTCTCTTTTTATGTCATCTTATTTTAACTTAAGTGGCCAGGCAGTCTGCTACCAGTGTGAACGGCCCTGGAAAGCTGGGTGGCTTAGCCACAGCGCTGAGCAATTTAAGTTCTTCGTTATCCTCTTGTGGGAGGCTCATCCCCTCCACCTGTGCAGGGCTCAGTGCCTGGCATTCACAGGTGTAAACGGGGGTGGAGGTGGGGTGAGGGGTGGCAGGGAGAAGAATGTCATAGGCTAAGGCCAGCTGGTGGAAGGAAGCGGGGTGCCTCCAAGGACTTGGGGGAGGGCCAGTGTGATGAGAGCAGAGACTGAGAGAAGTGGGAAGGGTGGGGAGGAGTCAGACCTCCTAGGCCTTGATGGTAGCATAGGACTTTGGTTTTTATCTTGGGAACAAATGGGAGGCACTGAGGGTTTAAAGTCAGGGAGGGAGCAAAAGGGTGAGATTGGCCTTTTGTGGCGTGTCCAGGATTATCACGGATTGGGTTTCTTATCACATTTAATTCCCTCTTCCTTCTTTCTCTGATTTTCGCAAGCTGCTTGCAATCCTACTGTCCAGATCTCCATGACTGTGCCTCTCAATCCTGGCTGCATATTAGAATTCTTCACGGAGCTTTAAAACGGACGATTCCCAGGACCTAACCTCAGACATTAAAATCAGACTTCCTGGAGCTCCGGCATTTTTAAGGCTTCTTGGCTGATTCTAATACGCAGCCAGGGTTGAGAATCACGAATCTTCTCTGAAGTGTTGGAAGGGCGGCTCTTTAGTGGCCGAAGAGATGTGGCAGGTAGAGCCGGTGACCCCGGGGAAGCCCCGTGTGTCTGATGAACCAGCCCTTGGCCTTCGTCCCCTGGATCTCTGATTAGTCCACAGTTTCACTTGCAGGGAAGGAATCTGGTGCGGAGGGCCCTGGAAGTCTCTCCTGGAAGCCCCTTTAGGGACAATCGGTTTTTCAGTTTATTGTCAAATACCCACGCTGCTTTGGGAAGAGACAATTCATTTTCTGCTCATTTGTTTGACATGCTCTCCTCACGGGAGGGCTTTTTACCCGTCGTGTTTCTCACTTGGTAACTTAGTGTTTGTAGCTGATGAATTAGTCAAACATCAAAAAGCCGGAGCAGTAACGTCATTTTCTTTCTTTTGCACGTCTGCGTGTGGAGACAAAGCAGAGTTGGCCCAATGCAGTAAAAAATTCACCCCTGGATTCATGGAAAGGTTTAACAAAAATTATTGCAGGAAAAACCTGCCTCAGTCATACTAAAGTGCTAAGGTCGAAGACTAGAAAGAAGCTAAATTTAAAAAAATTCCTGTTTATAAATCCTTTTAATCTAACAGGAAACTGGGTTAAAAAGGAGAAATAAGCATCCCTCTTTGGAAGAATTTTGAAGCCAAGAGGATAAGCCTTGAATTTTAACAATATGCAGCTACAAGCCTTCTGGGGCAAGAAATATTCTCCTCATTTCACAGATGGGAAGATGGAGGAAGGGAGTCAGGGATTTGGGAATAATATTTTGGTGAGTCCCTGTTAGAAAAAGAAATAGTCTTGCCCTGGCCGGTGTGGCTCAGTTGGTTGAGTGTTGTCCCATGCACCAAAAGGTCGCCGGTTTGATTCTTGGTCAGGAAACTCAAATGCCAGCTCTGTTCTTCTGGCCAAGTCATTTGCTCTTCATCTGCTCATTCAGCTCAGGAACATTAACTGAGTGTCTGTTGTGTGCCAGGCCCTGTGCTAGGCCCTGGGGGTAGCAAGCTGAAAGCCCTATTTGTAAGAAGCTCACTGACTTACAGAAAAATGACAAGAATCTCAACCGTTGCACTGCAGTGTGGTCAACGTTGTGACAGATCCTGACAGATTTCTGCAGGACCTCAAGAGGCGAAGCTAAATTGGGCTGGGGAAGGTTTGCCCACCAGTGTGAGCTGGCGCTCAGTCCTGCAGAGAAGGGCAGGCAGGGCAGTTCCCGCAGAGGAAGCCGCGGGCTGGTTTGGGGGTGGTTTGATGTGTCTGCGGTGCATGGACAGTGGGACTCAGACACGGGTCAGATCTTACGTGGTGCAGTTTGGAGTTTAAAAAACACACACCTGCATTTGTTATATTTTTCTATTTATAAAAGAAATACATCTTTGATGCTGGGATTTAATGGGAAGGCTAATGGGGACATGGTGAGGAATCTCAAGCAAACCAGGGGTATGACTAAGCTGAATTTAAAAGGAGCACTGGCAGCAGTGTGGTGTTGTAGGGCTGAGGAGGGGGCAGGCTGGGTGGGGATAGAAACAAACACTTTGTAAGCACAAACTGCAGCACTGAAACCAGAGAGGCAGTTGGGGTGCCGGCCTGGGAGTCCGACTGCCTGGGCTGAAGGCCTGACTCCCCCCCCCCTGCACTTCTTGCCTCACAGATCATGCAAGTTATTTAACCTCTGAGCCTTAGTTTCTTCAAATGACAGGGGTGGGTCAGGTGACCTTAAGTTCCCATCTGTCCTTGGAGAACCTTACACCTGCCGTCTACCCTCACACACAGCACCCCATCTGAGCATGGCACGTCTAGGCCCCTAGCAGGCTTTCGTAAGGGACTGTGGGAGGGATGGAGGAGCATGGGGTGCAGGAGGCAGACATGGGGCTCCGGTTGACTGCGAGCCAGCTGTGCGACCTGTTGTTGAACCCCGGCTTTCCATCTGTGAAATGGGAGTGGTGATAAATATTGTACAGATTTCTTAAAAGGCTTAAGTAGGAAAATACATTAGGAAATTCTGTGTAACACCATGTAACAATGCGTCTGAAAGACTAATTTCAATACCTTCTTAATGATGGAAGAAAATCAGGATCTCATTTGAAAATTTCAACTTCAAGATAGTACAACTTTTACTGTGTATCAAAAAGAACCCATACTTTTTCTTTAAAAAAGAAAACTGGTTTATGAAAAATTATAAGGTATCTTGTGAATAAGATTAAAATATATTGCCCAGCTGGTGTGGCTCAGTGACTGAGCATCACCCTATGAACCAGGAGGTCATGGTTCGATTCCCAGTCAGGGCGTGCAGGAGGCAGCTGATTGATGGTTCTCTCTCATCATTGATGTTTCTGTCTCTCTCCTTCTCCCTTCCTTTCTGAAATCAATAAAAATATATTTAAAAAGATTAAAATATATTGAATCCCCCCTCCTCTCCCAGGTTCTGAAGCCAGAACAAAGGGATACAATTAAATTCTTCATAGGAACAGACTAGGTAGACCTCCTCAGGATCAGGTATTGTGGGTTTTGTGGCTTTGAATCCTAGTTTCCTTTGCTGTCAGCCTTGTGAGTCATCATCTCATCTCACCAATCCTCACTTTCCTCATCTGCACAGTGGAGTTCTGCACATGTACCGAGAGGGAGGTGGGGAAAATGAAATAAGATTCAGTATGTGTGGGGCCTGGCTCTTAGCAGGGATCAATCAATGTTCCTTTCTCCTCTGTAAATTGAATCCTTTATAGATGTGAACACTCTTTGAAAATTACTATTTCATATAATTCTTGCCTCACTGTTGAGAGGCAGGTATGGAGATCCCAGTATTATTATCTTTATTTTCCTAAAGAGAAAGTGGAGTCCCAGAAACCTTACAAGGTCACTCAGGGTCGCTCCCGGTCTGATCCTTTAATATAGATAAGAGTCTACTGGGCCTCTTTCTTTAGGAAATGTAATAGGCCCCATGCCCTGAAAATTTTTCCTTGCAATATTATTGTTCACGTGTCCTGGAATCATTGCATTTCAAAACTAGCTTCTTATCCCTCTACAGCTGTCCCATCAGTGGCCAAGGAAGCACGTTTAAAGGACTTAAGGCACCGAAACTTCTTTCCTAAGGGGCCGCTCCGTCTCTGAGCAATGTTGGAAGCCAAACATTATTTCCCTGTTACTTCCATTCACTGGACCATGCTGTCCCTCCCCCACATGATCACAGTGGCGGGGGCAGTCACCCTCTGCCTGGTGGGGTGTGCCCACACCTGATGCATAAGTGAAGCCTGGGGCTGGCCCCAGACAGGGGTGTGGGTGTTGGGCAATGCTGCTCCAAGTCTTGTCCCTGATTTCAGGCAGGTTCCTCCTCTACCTCAAGTTTGAGGGCACCAAGCGATACCTGTCTGTGTGATGACTGTAAGGTGGAGCTTTTCTTGATTCTTCACATCTTCTGGGTAGAACGTACCTATCCTTTGATGTCAATGTTGAGTATAAGCATATTCAATTCTATATCTAGTATTAATTGGTGTTATTGCTATTCTCGCGTCCTCCACTTCCTTAACCCTGATAATTACTAAAGTTGTTGAGCGGGGGGGGATCTCTGTTATAAATTTATTCATCAATTACCATTTTCTTTTTTCAAAAATAGATTAAAAAAACATGCTTCAATTTTTATGTGAACCCAGATTACTCTGGATCATCATGTGTTCCCAAATCTAAGCCTGATAAGATTTTCTTATAAAATGGGCTAATAGTGTTGCCTTCAGTGTTTAAGGAGGTTCTTAAATTTGAGGAGGATTCACATTAACAACTAAGAAAGGAACGAGTCTTTCCCATCGCAGCCTGAGCCTGCCTCTGCGACAACACTATACTGGGTAGCATTTGTTTCTCTTGATCTCCCCCTTAGTTGTGGTCTTGTGGGCAAGGATGGTCTGGGGGTCAGAAAGCTTAGTGTGTGCTCCATGAGTCCCCTACAGAAGCAGGCTGAGTTACAACTTCTGTATCGTGGAGAAGGTGGACTGGAAAGTGGGCCTTCAGAATGACAGTGCCTTTCTCTCTATAATATGGTGTATCATATGTGTAGTGTATATACATATATGGCGTATGGTATATAATGTAGTGTGTAATAATAATATGACGCCGAAATTGCTGAGCGAAAAGTGCAACACAAAAGCCTTGTGGACACTAAATACACAAAAAGTTATTGTAAAATTCCTCACTCTGAATTCTGCGGTTTCTAGATGCTCCATAAATATCTCCTTATCTCACTTTCATAGCAATAAGCACCTTTTAACATACTGTACACACTGCCTGGAGCAGGCTAAGTATCTCAGTCTGTTTTGTTTGCTGATGATGTATCCCGAATGCCCAGCAAGCGCAGACACATACTAGGTAGAAGATGCTCACTGTGGGTTGAATGAATGAACAGTGACAATGATGATGTTACCTCATCCCAGAAAGTACCAGCCACAATTCTTCAAGCCCTAAGGGGAGAACTAAACTGTTGCAAAGAAAAGAAAAAAAAGGCTGGTTTCATTAATATAAGTGTTTTGGGCTGAACTAGGTTCCTACAAAATTCACATGTTAAAGTCCACCCTCAGCACCTCAGAATGCCACTGCATTTGGAGACAGGGTTGTTAAAGTGGTAAAATGAGATCATCAGAGTGGGCCCTAATTCACCATGAGATAAGGACACCCACAACCCCAAAGGGAAGATCGTGTGAAGATACATGGAGAAGAAGGCCATCTACAAGCCAATGAGAGGCCTCAGGAGAAATCAAACCTGCTAACACCTTGATCTTGGACTTCTAGCCTCCAGAATTGTGAGAAAATAAATTCCTGTTGTTTAAGCCGCTCAGTCTATGGCACTTTGTCATAGTAGCCCTACCAAACTAATATAATAAATGCGAAATCAAGGCAATTATTTTGAATGCTTGTAGCAAATATCTTTTGTTGCCCGGAATCATTCTTATTCAGATTTTAAAGATCCTGTTTTCCTTTTTGAGACACTTCTCCCCTTCCCACCCCTCGTCCCTGCGGTTCCAGGCTGGGCCAATCAATGTATTCCATTCCCCTGGCCATGTTGATTCATTTGAGCATGGACATGTGACCCAAGTCGGGTCAATGAGATTCATTTCTAGAATGATCTAGAAAAGAGAAGCCGGTGGTCATCTTGCCACCACAGGGAAGAGCCTATCTAAGAGGAAACAGGAACGCAGAGCCCAGCCATGCAGGGAAGAGATTTGGGGCAAATACAGGACTCTGACTCAAAGCCCCACCTTGCAGAGCTGAGAAGGGAGTGGACCAGAGAAGATGTAACACGAGAACCCTGGCTTAGCGGAGGTTAGGAAGGTGACCCTCATGGTCTGCAAAGTCTCTGCCAGTCTACAGCACTGGCTAAAAGCCACAAAGCATGTATTGGGTTTCTGTCTCTCCTAGTCACTTCTTATCCAAGGGCTGGGATTTTGTCCTCTCTAGAGGGTAGCATGAAGGATCTGAGTCCCTTCCATCCCAAGCCTTGCTTTGTTCCTGACGACTTTCTTTTACTCCATGGTCATTTATTTCTAGTTCATTCAGCTCTGAGGTGGGCAAGAATGGTTAGGAAGAAGACCCTAAGCCAGAGGGCTATGGGATGAAAAGGGGGATCAATTTATGGGGCATTTATGGCTACCTCCCATGTGCAGGCGCGGTGTTAAATTGGGCAGAAAGGAGTACTGCAAAGATGGACAAATGACATCTCTACAACAGGCACTCAGTACCCTAAACTAGGTGTGAAGCTGAGCTCGGGAGAATAGGAAACAAGATGAGACATCTGGAATAGGATTTGCAGTTGACTTCTAAATAGCTAACTCAAGAACTAGTCTTCTCCACAGTAGGAATATCAGCTCTACCAAGTTTCAGTGGTAAAACGGTAACAATTATTTGAACTGCTATTAAGATAAAGTGAATTATATCTGCCTGTTTTATTATGGGGTGGTTCAAGTTCAAGGTTATCCTTTCTCCTCTCTGTTCCCTGTCCCCCACCATCCCAACCAGATACCCAACTGATTTGTCCCTGGCGGCTGGCTGCGATTACTGTCCTAATTTGTTCTTTCTTCATCTGCTACAAACTGCCTATTTTCTGTCCCTTCTGATAAAGCAGGAACTCCGAGGGACTTCTGAAGCTGTTTTGTACCATGCAGAAGTGTATTAACCGGAACGCCTGCGTGTGTGTCTATAAACCCCCTCGTCTTCTCAGTGTGAGATCACCTTCAGGAACGGTGTCATGTCGACGAGCAGCTTGCGCGTGCAAAATTCTTTTCTGTTTGAACATATCAGCCCTTTATTTATACAACTTTGAGGCTCTCCTGCCTTCTGAGCTGCTGCCTCGAAGGTCCGCAGGGCTGCCTGTGAAGAGAAGCAGAAAGCCCACCTTTCATAGGAATGATATACAGTGCGACCAGAGTGAGTCTAAATCCCCAAATATTTATAGAAAGTGACTTTTCATCGCTGGAACACTAATAGTAACACCTATTTTTACCAGGGAAGACACAGGGGACCCTATGTACACAGAATAACCCGAGACTGGTTATTAATTCATACCTGGAGCTGGTGTGATGGGGAAGTGGAGAAAGGCACATTACTATGTTCCAGGGTTGTAATCACTTTACTTCATCCTCACAACTACCCTGTGAGGCAGATACTCTTATTCCCATTTCACAGACGAGGAACCGGAGGCTCCAGGAGGTGAAGTAACTTGCCCAAAGCCACACAGTTGAAATCCCCATCTTCCCAAGACTCCTTTCTTAATGAGATGGTTTTGATACTTCTGTAGCTTCCATGGATGGTTATTAAATCTGCCTTGCACCAAATAGAGTTATAGCAAGGTTCTAGTTTATTTCCAAATGTGAAACATGTTTGCCGCGTGAGGAAGAGTCACTTGAGCAAATCGAGCAGAGAGGGAAGGAAGAATGAGCGAATAGAGGAGTCTGGGAGGTCCCAGGGGCTCCGCAGTCTTGGGGCCTTGCCTTCTCCTGTCACCACAACATGCAGATGGTGCCCTGTTCCAATGCACGACACAGTTGGATCTGAAGTTGCTTTCCAGCCCAAGCCCTTACAGCAGCACGGGTGGTTGTTCTGAGATGCGAACCAGTGTCCCTCCTCGGCTTAAGACCTTCAACGGCCTTTGCCCTCAGGATGAAGGCCAACCGGCTAAAAAGGTTTACAAGACCCTTTCTGCCTGGCCCTGGACAATCTCTCCTGCCTCATTTAGTCATTCAACAGATATTTATTGAGCGATTTTCCTATGCTGGGCAGAGCAGATACGGCAGCGCAAGAAGCAGACAGAGGCGCCACCCTATGAAACTGCACATGCATTCCACTGAGAGGGAGGTAATAAGCAAGTAGATCATAAGTTACGTCTGAAGGTGATTCGTGATATAGAGAAAAATACAGCAAAGAGGGGAGCGGGGAGTATCTGGGAATGGCATGGAGGCTGCAGTTTTAAGCAGGGTTGCCAGGGAAGGTCCTCCAAGAAAGCAGTGTTTGAGCTCTGCAGCAGGCGAAGGAAGGGTCTGCGGGCTCTCTGACGGAAGTGCTTACCTCACTGCGGAAACAGCAGGTTCAAAGGGCTGCTCTCAGTGCTGACCTTTCAACTCCTGGACAAGGCTGTCAAGCAGGCCCTGCCTTCTCCTGGGAACATACTCCTCCCTTCCAGTCCCTTCTCATCCTTCAGGTCTGGCTCCTCTGTGCTGCTCATGGCATCCCAGGGCACCGGGCACTCCCCCCAGTGTCTACAATGACGCCCCGACCAGGGCTGGGAACTGAGGCTGCAACCGAGGCACGTGCCCTTGACTGGAATCGAACCTGAGACCCTTCATTTTGCAGGTGGACGCTCTAACCACTGAGCAAAAAGCCAGGGCCACTTGATACATATTTGCTGAACAAAAGAATAACTGTCGCACTGGGGACAAACTACATGTTATGGCCCAACTCGGTTCAAATGCAAAGGGCCAATGAAGACACCTTTACAGACAGTATGTGCCGACCGCCAGAGGCCAGTCCCCTGTGTGGCTCTGGCTCCTCATCCCCGAGGGCTGACTTGCTGGGGTTGCATACATTAGTGTGCCATGAGATCACCCTGGGCGTGGACTTGATCATTTCCATATTTTCTAGGAGACTCACTCTCAGAAGTCTGTTTCTCTGGGCTGTCAGAAACATCCCCTCCCATAGCATTTATATTACTTTTAAGTATTAATGATGAATTAACGGTTAGTGGGTCCCCACAAACAGCCATCATTCCAATGAACATCCACACCCTTTTCCTTTGTTTTGAAATATGGCTAGAGTTAAAGACAAACACATAGCCAATTTTTTTTTTTTTTTTTGGTTATCTCAGCCATAGCTGATTAGCTTCTCTGGGTGAGATAGCCCTTCCCTGTTTCTAGATCAAATGAACGCATTTTGTCCAAGCTAGAATCAGCAAAGCATTTCAAGCTTTCTAGCTTCCAAAATCATTCATGAATCACTGGGTGGAATAGTAGAAATCTGACAATACTGATTTAAGGGAAATTTCTCCATTATCTCCAAGAGACAATTTTGTGTTGGGCTGGAGGACAAACAGCATAGCCAAGACCAGTCCCAACGGCTGGAATTACTGTAACTCCTCACGTGGGGTTCAGATTGAAGAGTGGGGAGTTGGGAGGCTTTGAGAAAGTCCCTTCAAAGCACTTGGCCTATAAATCTTTTGATACAACAATTCTCTTGACTATATGGCTCATCTCTCTAACATCTAGGGGCCATCAATTCTAGCTTAATGGAATGTTTTCAATGAAGGCTCTGTCGTCACTGGAATGTGAAGTACTGTTTGCTTATTATGTTCAAGAGTTCTAACAAATAAATGATAGTGAAAGGGGGCTTGGGAGATGGGAGGAAAGGAAAGATGAAATATATAAAGAGGATTCTGAGAGGTAGTGAGAAGAGGAGAAAAAGAAAATTGAAACCAGGAAAGAAAGCTACACTTTGGGGCTGTTTATTTTTTTAAAATATATTTTTATTGATTTCAGAGAGGAAGGGAGAGGAGACAGAGAGATAGAAACATCAATGATGAGAGGAAATCATTGATCTGCTGCCTCCTGCACACCCCACACTGGAGATCGAGCCCACAACATGGTCACATGCCCTGACAGGGAATTGAACTGTGACCTCCTGGTTCATAGGTCGACGCTCAACCACTGAGGGGTGGTTTTTCATTGGTTCATTAAATTGGTATTTACTGAGTGATAGTGTATGTGTCAGACAAACAAACTCATAAATAAGCAGGATTTTAGGGAGTGATAAGTCTAAGAAGACAATGAAATGATGACAGGATGGAAGTTGATGGGGAAGGCGTGGGACTTGCCTTTGGGTGGTCAGGGAAGACCTCTCTGAGGAGGTGACATTTGAGCAGAGAGCTGGGTGACAATTAGGAGCTATTCCTGGAAGGATCTATCTTTAGCAGTCAGTGTAGCTGATTATTCAGAGGTAAGACCAAGCAGGGATTCTTTGAAAAGGAAAGTAGAATTCCTGATGTCTGCCTGTTCTGCCCCAGCCTCCTGGGCCCCATCCCTGACCATGTGAGGCACCCCTCTGTTTTCTGAGCCATCAGAATGGACACTTGCAGCTCTTGGGCTATTTTGAGAGCAAAGACTGCAGAATAAGTAGTGAACAGAAGTCAAGGTCTCTGAAGGTGCAGAAGGGAGAAGAAAACACAAAGTTAGACAGAAGGGTGAAGGTGGGGGAAGTAGAAGCCAGAGATGCCTGGAGCTTTTTTGTTTCGTTTATGTGCATGCTGTAGTGGGGATGATCACAACACGGATGGACGGGTGAAATGTTGAGCAGAAAGTCAAAACCCCTTCCTTCACCTGTACATACTTTAATATTTCTATGTCCTGCTAAAAACACCTGGAAGCCTTTCCCTTCAGTAAATGAAACAATAAAGATTAATGAGCTAATGGGGTAAAGCTGATTTGAATTGCACAGAAGGTGTTGCGTAAGTTCTTGGCATTTAAAATGTTATCTGACATTTAAAGGGGATGACTGCTAATGAATTCAAGATCTAACACTCCGAGAGACTGAGCCATGGAAAATCCAGGATTATTATCTTGCTGTAAACATGATGTGATTCAGCTGAAAGCCAGAACAAAAGAGAGCCATCAGCTATATACCAATATCCATATGCACACACATATATAATGCAGCCAAACTTACAGAGGTTGTCCTCAAATTAAATAAATATCATTTCCTTTCTTACTCTTGGATTATAACATCTGAGCTACAGACTCACGGAGAAATGCTTCTCCCCAACAATTTTTCCTCCTCCTTCAACATGTGTATTTTGAAGGGTCACTACCGTGGGCTGGCTCTACAGTCATTGGGATATGTTACCATAAGGAGGAAAGGAGATGCTAAACCAACCAGCTAGATCTCCACCCATGGGTCCCACAGAGCCACCAAAGATACGGATCTGTCCTACAGGCGTCTCTCAGGCCTTCCTCTTCTCTCACTCCTTTCTAATTGGGGTTCCCCATCTCTGAAGCTGCAGCTTAATGGCTCCAAGAAGAGCTATTGTCTCTCATTAACGAGGCTGCAACGCTCTCGCTGTCTAACTGCCTCCCACGCAGCGCACAACTTCATTCTCCTGGGAGCGAGCTGCCAAGAGTCTCTGGGAACCTGTGGGCAAGCTGAGCTGGAGGAAGAAAACAGAAGGCAGGAGGGCCTTTGGAGCCAAGATCTGAGATGTGCCGGGGCCCACACCTCACCATTATCTTCACGCATGGAGGGCAGGGGCGGGAGGCCTTTGCCGAAAGCCTTATGGGGTCTATCAAGTTGTCAGTTGAAACCTCTGTGCACACAGGGCGTGTGTCCCCCTCCTGTGAGCAAACAAAAGGAGCAGAGCCAGTCTCTCCTTAGGACCCCTGGGCCCCCTACTTGGCTGAGAGTCTGTCCCTCCACTTCCCTGGGGGGCTGGGGGAGGAGAGGCTCTGGATCCCAGTGGGGATGGATAGATCTGAGAGATTTAGTTATTGGGACTTGGTGGGGAAGGGACCTGGGATTCCGAGCTTCCCCTTGGCCACGTCCCCTGATGGGTGGTGGGGACCAAATCCTGGAAAGGGCCGCGCCTGCCTGGAGCTGTGCAAGCTTCCCTGTGCTTGGCCTTCTCAGGCTGTTGTTTCTTGCCCATGGCAGCCTGCGGGCCTGTAAGTGGGCAGTAGGGATGGGGTCACAGGTGGGGCTGAGGGGTGATGGAACTCTTTTGGGCTCCTATGACTGGGCTGCCTGGAGGGATCCGAGTGGACAAGTGGCTTCTTATATTCTATCCAGTTGGAGGGGACCTCGCCTGTGCAAGGCCGGCCACCCTGGCCACGCCC